CTGAAGTTGCTAGAGGGCCAGACCATTATAAATAGGGAAGCAGGTTGTTTACCACGACAGTAGAAGTGATTTTTTTTCTGAAGATATGGGTAAACAACGCGATTTAACAGCCGTTGAACGTGGGGTGATTGTTGGCGCGAGCCATGGAGCGAGTATCAGCAAAACAGCAGAATTTGTTAAATGTTCAAGAGGGGCTCATTGTTAAAGTGTTTAAAGACTAGACTGTCAGCCGAAAATCTGGGTCTGAACGTGCGAATTGTGGCCGTCAATGTTAGTCAATGTTAGGGCAGAACGGAGAGTGGCAAGACTGGTACAAGGCAACAGAAGGGCAACAGTGCAGTGTCAGATTCCTTGCATCACCTTTCAACATCTCGTGGAGTCACGAGGCGGCCCAACGAAGTAATCTCGTGAAGTTATCTCGTGTCCCAACGAAGTACTGATGGGGTGGTCATAATAATCTGGCCACTCAGTGTATATAGTACTTGGTTTAATTATCTGACCAGCAGCCCTTTAGCTTTGGCATTATTAATGCATGCCTTGCCTCCGTATAACTATCTGGGCAGGCTGTGTCACCATATCCTAAAGGCAGACCTCTGGCCAATCTTGTGAGATTTTTTTTGGTCTACAGAGGAAAATAACAAAGTTATACTCACCAGAATGGTCCCTGGAGCCTCACTCCACCTCCGCTGCAGTGTTTTAAGGTCTGCGAGTCATCACGTTCAATACAGTGTATAGGACGTGAGGATGCCGGAGGACATACTATCGCTGCAGTAGAGAAGAATACAGGCTTTGTGGAGCTCTGTCACAGCTTGCCAGCTCGGAGTATCAGGTGAGTATAACTTTATTTTCCTCCCTAGACTAAAATGAGGACTTAACCTTGCAGTGCAGGGTAGCCCCAGTGGATGAGTTAAAAAAAACATTCCCAGGAGCTCTGCTTTAAGCTTCAGCACAAATTACATTAGCACATTTCTGGATTGTTGGCAGAACAGCATGTACAGTATTTCTTATAAATAATATAAAAAATAATAATGTAAAAAATATATATGTGGAAGTGTGCATGTATTAGAGAGATGAAGAGATACGCTATATTTTGTAAAATTATGCCATGACACACACTTTAAGCCAAGAAATGTAATTTTCTCCAGTGTATCCTTTGTCAGCAGTTTAGTGAAGTGCAAGAAAAAGAGCCTATACTTTTAGAGAGCAAAGTAAATGTCTCATATTTTGACTGCAAGTGAAAAGTACAATTTAAAGACCTGAATAGAACCTGCAGTTTTGCCTATGTCATAACTAAAAATGCCATATGTATTGAAAACATGTCATTTGTTTCTACAGGACATAAACTTAATACTCTCTTTCATGTCCATAATGTCATCTCAGCTTGAAACAGAGACCAATCATGGCAGGCGCAAAGCGTGTCATCTGGTTGTTCAACTATTTGAATTAATAAAGCAATTCTATAAACAAATGCATAAGACACAGAGAAGGAAATTTACTAAGGCTGGAGCAGATAAAATCTGGAACAGTTGTGTATGGCAACCAATGAGCTTCATGCTTTCATTTTCAGAGCTTAACTAAACAAGCTGAAGAGAGAATCAGATTGGTTGCTATGCACAGCTTCTCCACATTCTGTCTGCTACAGTTTTGATCATTTTCTCTAGTGTTAGCAAATTCCCCTTGAGTTTCCAGTTTAAATGCATAGCCCATGAATATTGTTCAAATTTTTATACAATTTATATAAGGTAGTTAGCTCTTTTACTTTGACCATCATTCAGTAATGCACAGTGAGTGGCATCATAAAAAAGGCCATACATATCAACTGTAAATATTGCCTTGATGTTGATGGGCTAGTCAGAGCAATGCAAATTGTATCTGATGATCATTATTACCGTCATTAATTATTAGGGATGCACTGATACCGATGCCAAGTATTTGGGCGAGTGCGGGTACTCGCCCAAATGCTCCGATACTTCCGGTCAGAGGGAGATAACCCGCCTCCCAGCTTCCTGATTGGTTGGAAAGCCGTCTCCATGCTGTTTGGCCGACTCCATGCTGGTAAGCCGGCTTCCTGTGCAATCAGCATGGAGCCGGTTTCCTGGGTAATGACATGCCGTCTGGCTTCCTGATTGGCCGGGAAGCCGGCTCCATTCTAGCGGAAATACCGGTATTGGCAAGTAGCGAGAGATAAATATTGGCACTCGTACTCGATACCGAAACACCTTTATCGGTGAATCCTTATTAATTACAAATAACTGAATTACAGTAAAGCTGGCCATACATCGAGTGCATTTTGGCTGGTTTTTGTTGCTCTGACCAAAATTTGCTCCATGGGTGGCCCTGTTGGCAGCCTCATACCCAACATTCTTCAATAAGAAAATTGAACGAGCCAGATGGAAAAATATCTGCCGATTAGCAACTGTAGCCAATCAGCTGCAGTCACTGTTTGGGTATTCGGATAGCAGCATACCCGCAGCTTTTAGAACACAATAGCGGTAGTCAGATATTCAGAACCTGTTAGATTCTTTTCTTTCAGCCCACAAGGTGAATGGAAAAAATATAACAGTGCATGGCTAGATTAAGCCGACTGCCAATATATCCTTACTGTAAAAACAACAAATCAAATTAGGCGCATCAAATTAGGAGCATCAGCTGCAGTCACTGTTTGGGTATTCGGATAGCAGCACACCCGCAGCTTTTAGAATACAATAGCGGTAGTCAGAGATTCAGAACCTGTTATATTTTTTCCATTCACCTTGTGGGCTGAACGAAAAGAATCTAACAGTGCATGGCTAGATTAAGCCAACTGCCAATATATCCTTACTGTAAAGACAACAAATCAAATTAGGCGCATCAAAAAGCAGCAGCGTGGCTGTACCACCGATGGTGTACAATAAATCTATATGGCAGATGTAAAAAAGAACAAAAAGCTAGCAGAAGAGCAGGGTTCTGTGATCTGTCAAAGCCACATGACCAGCTCACCACCAATCATGGAGCTCTTTTTGCTGCGTTAAGCAGAGAGAACTTAGTGGAGTGCCATAGGCTAAACACCTCAGCCCACATCATATGCATGGGCAATAAAATGCGGGCTGAGGTGTGGGGATCCCAATGGAGTATGAAGAAGAGTGAATAGCAATAAATGCGCAGAGAGAGCACTG